GCGCACGAGCGCATGTACGTGGTCGGCTGCTACATCAACGGGGCGCTGGTGGCGAGCGCGCGCGGCCTGTCGATCACCGACGCCCAGATGGGCGCCGCGCTGCGCGCGCTCGAGAGCCTGCACCTCGCCCCGGAGGAGCCGGAGGAGCCGGAGGAGGGCGAGGTGTGAAGGGGGCACACATGACGCACACGAACACACTCATCCTTTTTTATCGCGCATGGCTTTCCCCCATGAGACGTGTCCGCATCTGACACGTGTATATGTGTTTGGTGAGGCAGCAAAATTGTAATTTGTATCCTCCCTAAAAGCGGAACCAAGGTGGTGGGACAAGAAGTTAGGCTGAGCGCATTGCCATTGGGTGCTGGCCTTCTGGCACCAGCGGGAGCACCGAGCGCGCACCGCCGCGCTCTCCCTCCCCCCACCTCGCCGCCTGCCAAATCGCCGCGGCCGTCTGCGCCTGCTTCCGGGTATGACTCCGAGCTCGAATTTTCCGACGCTGAGGCGCGGGATAGGGTGGCAGGGGTTGTGCACGACGCAGTGCAGCAGGCTGTGATGCAATATGGCTAGGGAGGGGTGTACCCTGTACCTTCCGTGAAACGATTTTCGAGGTGTGAATACACCCCCTAGACGCGACGCCCCCCGAACCAACGGGCCAGACCCTTCCAGAGGGTGCCCCAGGGACGCCCAAAACCGCCCACAGCAGCCCCACAACCCTTAAACAGTACTCGGCACAACCACTCAAAGTTGGCCTCCCCCGGAGGTGTTTCACATTAGGGGCACCCTCCGGCAGGCCGCCCTGAGCCCCCTAGGCGGGCCGCCGCTGCTCTAGCGCGCAGCGACCCGATGGGCAAGGGGGCCCTACCCACCACAGACACCCTCACGCCCTCTCCCCCGGCCCGCCGCGGCACCGAGGGCGATGCTGCGCGAGGGATCGCTTCTGCGGAGCCGCAACGGCCGGCGGCGGCGCCGCCAGCGCGGCCCGCGCGGCCGGTGGCGCCGGTAGCGCGAGCAACGGCATCGGCGATGGCGCGGCGGTCGGCGAAGGCGCGTTGGGCAGCGCGAGAAAACTTTTTCTCTCCGTCCTTCTCTTTCCTTTTCCCTGTCTTTTTTTCTCCTTTTCTTT